CGCAACTTGACATATGATAACATGAGGAAGGCCATGTGTGGGGAGCACCCCCCCCCCATCTAATTCCCTGTTGAGGGAATTCTTCAAAACAGTATGTCTTTCTTTTTAGTACAGTACCTTTATGTATTTATATCGCAAGTTAAAAGGCAACATGCAACTCGGAATGAACAACTGAAACTTCTAAAATCAAACTAATTGTCATTAGCACAATCTTAAATCAATCAGCAACGATTTAAAAATTGACAACTTCACCTCCCTCCCTCCTCGGTGGAAAGGTCTGGATTCGACATTGGTTATGATGCAATCAAATATATTCTGGAGCTTATTATAATCAATTTACATGAAATAAAAGAGTAAAAGCTGGGTAAAAAAAAAATAATCAACTCAAGTCTGTTTCAATTTATTCAAAATTTTAATTGAGATTTAAGTTAGACACTTTTCTTAAACATTTCAGCCAGGGTATTATTCAGAACTGTAACTGTCAGTTAAAACTTATGTAAGCCTAGAAAAACAGGCATTAAGGTTTGAAGCAACGGTTCTCACTTGCTCGAAAGAGATACACATAATCTTCCACATAGAACAATGAAAAATATACAATGTACTCATACCTTCTAAATTAATGGCTCTTTACACAAACCTGTTGTTTCGTGCTCTTGCTCGGCTTAACTGAGAAATGCATCTCCTTCATGGACTTCTCAATAATGCTTACAGGATAAGGTCTTTTAGTCTCAGGATTAACACATTTGTCTGACACTATTGTAGCAATGTCTTTAAACATGGATTCCAATTGAGCATGCCTCTCTTTCTCTGACACCTGCAGCTCGCCTTTAGCTAAGATCTAGAGACATATCAATAAACTAGTTTCAAAACTTTATTATAGAACTAAGCAAAGCTTGATATTCATGTTTGGTTTTCTTTAAAAGCTCGTACTCAGTGAGATTTGCTATTAATCATATGATAACCACTATATTTAAATATTGCACAAATACTTTATTATGTATAGAAAATCTACGATGTAGCTAACCAAATTAAACCAGATGATTTATATATATATATATAGACCCACACATGCATATATAAATAAAATCCATGACAATTACATGAAGATATCTTGTGAAAAACCAAAAATTCAGTAGAAATTGTGTACTATAGTCACATGAGCACACTTAACCAATCAGAGAAATTATCAGTACCCGCCCCCCCAGTGATACAGAGATATGTCTGAGGACTTGCAATGCTATAAATCGGGCTTCGATATCTGTGGTGAGAAGAGCACAGACAGTTCATTGTGAAGCTGTGTGCTTAACTATAAACAAACAAACATCGAAGAACCATATAGCCCTAAAAATTCACTTATATCTATATATTTCTTCGATGTTCTGAAAAGAGAGCAGAGAGAGAGAGAAAAAAATTGTTTCACTTTATTAAGCTTGTTCTAATTAATAATAAACATACCTCTTTACATATTTCAGTCTGATCTTCAGTTTTGAAACACTTAATTAGATCTTCTTTTTTTGCAACTTGCCCTTTTGAAACATTGGTGAAAATGCTGTTAGTCTGCAAAACTTCATCTAAATCTTTCTCTCTGTAAAGATTCCAATTTTGCAAATAAATATTAAAAATATATACGTTTTTCACAAGGATTTAGTTTGGAAATTACAGAAATGATTTATCGTCTTTTAAGATGCATTTCTCGAACCATGTTAATTTGAATTTTTTTTTTAAACTTTAATTTATTACACAATTATTATTCCATAGTAAGAAAAATAGTTTATCACACGATAACACAATAACTCAAAAGTGTTAAATACATGCACAAGATGTGTTACATAGCAGTGAGCATTTTCTGTTATGACAGACTAGTTCCACCAAATGTTAAGTGCATAAATTTTTTTGTGTATGCGTGTATCACTTTATATTGGAAATGTATAACCGTTAAGTAATCTTCGTGACGTGTAATACAATATTGACTTTTATGATATTGTTTCAGCCATATAATTCAACTTTCAAGCATTCCCTAATAACTCTGCAATTATTCCAATTTCACTCAAGAATAATAACCAAGTGATGTAAATACAATAAATAAATAATTATATATATTTTACAATTAGAAGTATAGATATTACAACATTACTTGCAACACAAGGAGAGGTGACATATACTGTCTCAAATTTAAAACTATCTCAAAACAATGAAGCTTTCAAAAAGTATTTTAAACAATTTCTTAAAAACTGTCCCCTGCTGATTTTGAAATATACCTTAATAGATAAAATAAAATAAAGATCATTTTTAAAAGTTAAAACCAAGTTCATTTTTTTAATTCTATTCAGTATAAGCACATTTTGAAGGAACTGGTTTCATAAAAATAAGCTAATTTTCAGTGTGAGATTGCCCTAGCTTTATTTGTATATCTATGTTCACACACACAAACTAACTATTCATAGATATGGAAATACTGTTTCTCTTTCATTTATTTTTTATTAGATAACTTACACGTTATTTCTCCATGATAAAACCTTGTTCTTGTAGCATGCTATTTCAAATCTCTTTCCTCCTTTTTTCATTCGAACAACGGCAACATTTGTTAGTCTTATTTGATTTGTTGGTGTGAAAATTGACATTTTTATAAAAGACAATATAGACTGGTAGGAGACATAAAACAGTCTTTGATGGACTCTAAGAGCAAAAGGTTAATGTAAGTTTATGTACACAATCTGAAAATTTAATATCCAATTAAAACTGGTCCATAACTCAAGCAAAGTGATTAAAGAAAATAATATCTTTATTAAACTAACAATAATATACATTATGAATTGAATGAAATTGCCACTTTATCGATTATCAATGGCTGAATCAATTTTACCCTCACAGTATTATTGTTAGTGTTCATTTACTACTTATAACTTATAATGTAAGTAGAATTCTGCTAGTGCTACTGTTACAAGTGTTACACCAAAAATATATAGAGAAACGTACTTTCCAGAAGTTGTAAGAAATAGCTCGATTGAACAGGTATAATTTAAAAAATTAAATCTCTGCCAATACGAAGTTTTATTTTTTTAATTAATTTTGACTTCTGTAACCCACAAAGAAATCATGATAATATTAATAATAACTATTAAATAATTTATTACTACGTTTAGCCAAACATCTTAGCAATAATACCGAAAGTTTTAACTGTAAGTGTAACAGTGTAAGACATATACACTGATTGAGACGAACACTAGTAACAGTAACACTTAACTGTAACTTGTATTTGTAAGTGGTTATAACACAGTAGGTTTACAGTTACACTTTACTAAAAAAAATTACTGTTTTAAGTGTTTACAATTTACACTTAAGTTACAAAACTTACACTATGTAAATCTACACTACTGATTGCAGTGTTATTATAACACACTTAGAGAAGAACCAAATGGATAAGTTGAATTGGTGATGTACAAAGTTAAACGCCTCACATAAACAAAAGTACAACAAATAAACATCAATCGTTCTTACATACGTTATAAAATTTATTACGCACTTGCATCACTATTGGGTAAGTGTTAAACTTTATATATAAAAATAACGACCTCTGTCGGTAAGAAAGTTGTATAGCGAAGTTATCATAAGTTTGAATTACTCCATATTAATTTCAAAAATAATGACTTACTATACACATATACAAAATTTAAAATGAATTAATAGCTGGTGATAAGACGACAAAAAATAAAAAATAGAAAAATGCTCGTCAGTAAACTTTTATCTTCACATTCATTTTCCTGATTTCCATGATATTTTGCCTCCCTCATGACAAGTCCAAATTGCCACTCTAATTGTAGACGTAAGCTGAGGGGGGGGGGCATACCTCCTTAGCTTTGTCTTTGGGAAATTCACTTCTAACAAGTTTAATTCACTTTTAACTGTGCCCCCCTCCCTCTCACACACACATCAACATTTGCTCCCGGCTTATATGAATAACATATCAAAACACCTTGCCCTTGGCCATCCTCGTGGTCTTTAACTGCATTTGCGAGTGCAAATAGCGCCTAAAATTAAACTCCTCTGGGAGGATTATATTACAGAACTTAAGTTGTGAAGTTCTCCTATTTTGTGGTTATAAAAACATATTAGGCCTTTGGAAGAATGGATACTTACAATTTTGAACCATATTTGTAAAGCAACGGAAGACGTGATTCCAGCAGATAAAAAAAATACTCCATGACTGTAGACTATCGGTCATACACCGGAAGTAACACAGATGTTTATCTATATAAATAAAAATGTAAATGTTCGTTTGTTCAAAATCTTAAATCTCCGAAAGTTCTTCACC